CCGCGAGAGAAGCTACGCTTTGCTCCCACAATGCAGTTCGGCGAATCGTGACGTCATCCCACTCAAAGTGAATGGGCAGAAGCGTTAACGCACGCCGCCGTGTGTAGGGGCCATAATGGCCCTTCCACACAGCGGCGTGCGTTGAAAGCTTCACCATTCACTTTGAATGGGGTGACGTCACTTTCCGCCGAACTGCATTGTGGGAAGCGACGCGGAGCTTTGCTGGCGTCGCTCGCTGCAAAAGTTGAGCAATGTTCAACTTTTGAAGCCTCGGCAGAAGCGTCAGCCAATCGAATCATATGCCAGTACAAGCTCAAGCCAATCAAACCGCTGCTTTTGTGTCAGGGGCGGGAGATTCATGTGATTGGTTGTTGGTCGAGTTTCAGACACGCCCGCCGGCAAGCTTCAACGCACGCCGCTGTGTGGACGGGCCGTAATACCTTTGTATTGCATGTATTTTTTTTATTTGTAAAAATGTCAGTTAAAGCTTAAAAGAATAAAGATATTTTTGTTATCTAAACGTTTGACTTCTTTATTTTATAATGTTGGAATTGAAACGGGGAATCGATAAGCAGAATCGGAATCGATACATTTCAGAAGATACCCATCCCTACTGCAGGGTAGCTTGAGAATTTACTCCAGGTGGAACTAAAGTCTGATTCAACACTTGATTATATTTCACATCATTCATCCACATCTGTAAAGTAACTAAAGGTATTAAATACAGTGGAGTAAAAGTACACCATTTACCTCGGAACTGTAGTGGAGTAGAAGTACAAGGTAGAAACACATTGAAATACTCAAGTTAAGTACATTAGACGTGTAATTAAACTTAGGCTACATGGTTACTTTACAGCTCTGAGAATGATGTGCTTAAGCAGCAGGTTAACAGGCATTGCACAGGAACTGTAAACACACAGAATCAAACCCAGAAGAGGAATAAACATCTAAAGGAAACAGGAATATACTACATTACACTATGAATGAACTACAGTATGTCATATATTGTACTGTAGTGACGGTGTCAGACCGTGTGAATGTGGCGGTAAACTGAATGATATTTAGATTAGATCTGATCACAGAAATCAAAATGTCGATATAAACCCCAGTTAACACTCAGTGTGCATAAAGTGTTGAATCAGAGCTTTATGGGTGTTATTTATTTGATTATAAAGCTTCTTGTTTTGCTCTCATACGCAGGATTGAGCGCTCCGACTAGGCGCATGCGCAGAGCAGCTTTCCAAACAAACACGGAGGAGAAGAAGGGGGGAGTAAAAGAGGGAGGGGGAGTAAACACAAAGCTGCGGCTGCTCTCCGGGCTCAACACTCGGTCTCAGACCTGCTCACAGCCGGTCCACAGCGGGCCGAACCGACCTATATTAATCTAAAAACCCGTACTAGGGATAATGCCTCCTGTATTTCTCTCCGTTTAGTACATTAGCTGCGGCCCGCTCGCGGAGCGACAGCTGCTGTTTGGGCGCCACTTCTCTCACAAGATGGCGGACACGCCCCTGCCACAGCGCAGCGCTCCCGCTCCGTGTTTTTAATGTTTTTCTACAGACTTAAGCCGCTCTACGGACCGGGAGTCTGGCTCCTCAGAGAGAGGACACCTTCCGCCGCATGTCGGTACCGGGAGAGGGTCTCTGCGGGGCTGCCGGTGCTTACCTTGCCTGTTTAAGTAGCGCAGAGTCTGTGGTTCAGTCCTCTTGTTTCTGTTCCTTCGCTCTCTCCCTCCCCGCCGCTCAGACATCTTTACAGGGAGCACGGGAGACACACTGCGCATGCGCAACGGGTGTCCCGCTTCCTGTTTACAAACGTCTTGTCCGTTGCGCCATTTTGAGCAGGTCATAACATGTAAAAATACGACAAGGCGTTATTTAAAAGCCCTATAAAGCCTGTTAGTGCTGCACAGAGAAACAAATAAATAAAATACAAATATGAGGACGTGTGTGTGTGTGAGTTTTCAGTGGGTTCTGTTGTGAATAAAACCGTCATTTATTTTTCAAAGGTTTTCAGATATTTTTCTATTTAAATCAGTAGAAATATAAAGGTCTAAAAGAACTCAGATGAAAACAATCAACAAATAAATCATTTTAATTACACAGGTTAGCTGTGTGACGTCATTAAACAGGAATGAAAAATGTAAAAACCAGATGCAAACAAAAGGAGTAAACAAAACAGAAGAAATGTAACTAAATGTAAACAGCTCATAATGTCGAACTGAGGGAATTAGATCATAAATAGATATTGTAAAATATGTTTAGTGTCCATTTTAACAAGTATACATTAAAGGTGGAGTAGGTAAGAAAGGAGAAACCAGCTCGGGTGCGCTAGAATTTGAAAGTTTGAGTTGACTCACATCTATTCAAAAGCTAAAGTTGCCTGGTATAGGCTCACACTCAACATGAAGAGTCTAAATGAAGCTCAACCCCAATAAAATAAGTACTGACATTTTGTGCACATTTGATTGCATTATATTTCTACTTTCACACAATTATTTTTGAGGTCTTTACTGATTTTCTTTTGAATGATTTTGGTTGTGTTTGGTCTTTGAATCCCCATGCATCTGCCCTGCTAATACTGCTTCTGGGGAACAAATACAGTTATATACTATGGTGTATAGTTTGTGCTAGTGTGTGTTTCTCAACCCAAGATCACAACAGGCCCTTTAGGGTGAAGCTGGGTGATGAGTTTGGGCCGCTTCTCGTTCCAGAAGTCCTTTATACTGTCTACACAGTAGGAGTCCTGGATTCTGAAGAAGGAGGACCTCTCCACCATCCCCATTTTCATGAACTGGAAAAGTAGTGAAATCTTGGCATAGTTGTTGCCAGAGAGCAGCATGTTACTGGCCAACATGAAGTCCCCAACCAGCATCCCAAACTTTAAAGCGGGCTGGGAACACCATTTATTTTCCATACAGTGTGACCATGAAGACACATCTAAAAAAAGACATAGGAGGAGAAGACAGCACAGTACTTTAACAACAATTACTACTGCTTGTATGACACGTAGGCAGAAATCAGTCCAAAACGTGTAATGCCAAATGATGCCAAACAAATACACACCCATTCAACGATAGCTGCTGTGCCCCTGGACTTGACACTGATTTCGAAAGGCCTAGGAGCACGGCACCCAACATTGGTTTTTGGGTCCTTAGCGGTGCACATGTTCACAGGCAGAACCAGATATTGGGCCGGTTGGTGGAGACTGTCATGATACACAATGGATGCAGGATGGCCGATTATGTCATCCTCAACCAGGACTTTAGCCTTCTCTGGAAATGTGTCTGTTGTAGTTGGATCTTGGGTGTCATCTATACTGTCGTACACAGAGTCCTCCATGCTAATAGCTGCCAGTCCATTCAAGCAAATCTGTTACAAAAAGAAATAGCTCTGAAAAATGAAAAACAAAACAGAAACAACTTGACTATAAGCTGTGCCAAAGGGTGTTGAACCTACCGCACACAAATACGAGGCACGCAATCTTCATCCC